CCATCTGTCAAACAAGCAGAGAAAAGAAAGTGCGTATCATCATCACTGAATGTTATTTATATCTTTAATGTTGCTTTATTTTTCAGTCTGATCTCGAGATATTTTTTTATGAAGCTTGTGAAACATTCTAAGCAACTAGTCTGAATAACACCAAGACAGTTCTCCAAGTGCGAAAATGTCTATTATAATATCAAAGACAGGAATAAGTGGTTAAATGTCGAAACGCAGAATGTAGAAAAGCAGGTTGTCGAAAAAATAAAACGTCGAAACAAAAAATGGCGAAAGAAGAAAAATGAAATGAAGAGACGTTCAAAACATCGTCGAACAAACTTCGATTGCCTGACGATGCCTTGCGGTCATGTACTAATTGGAATATACCCAAGGGGGAAAAAAGCGGATTTTTTCGGATTTTAGATCCCAAAAAATCTCGAAAAATCCAAAATTATTGTGATTAACTTTGGCCGCTGGTAGCATTGTCTGATCTTAATTTCAATATCGATAAACTAAATTAGCAGTTGTTCATGGTTAGTAAAGGTCAGAAACCGCAGTGAACTCAGTAGACAATGTGATACAGCATCATGAGTTTTTCAGTGCACTGTAAAATGAGTTAGAAATCGGTAGAATTTCCATCATACCAGAGAATCTGAGATTAAAACATTTCAAGAGCTTTAAACACGTCGCAATGGCACGTCAAATAGGAAATATCTACCCGTACATTAGAAAATTATTTCAAGAGCTATTATTATTTATAATTAGAAGATAATGTTGCTAACTGATAGTGATTTTTCATGCTGTCTTTACATCTTCCTTTGCCGATTTTAGTAGATCTGACTCAATAATAAGCCAAAACAGAAAAGTATATTCAGACTTCCGAACAAATACTTTAGAAACCATCACTTTGTCTTTTTTGGAATCTCTGTCGTGCATACCAGATAAATATATCGAATTCAGCCGAGAAATACAAGAGAGAAAAGATCCATCATCATTAATCCTTCTCTCATTGATTAAAATAAATGCTCATCTAAAGACATATCAGGCTTTTCTTGTTATTAATGATAAAATTCTATGTAACGTTTTATCAATCAATGTCTCTAACTCATAATTAGTGTCAAAACAAGTTGCGTTCAATCGAAGAAATCTCTACTTAGGTAGAGCTGATTGGATATTTTGTCGTGACAGATCTCAGCATGGCCAGGTTAAACAGTTTGGTCGACCGATACGAATAAATCTGATTGTATAAAAAGCTTGAATCAATGGAAAAACTGGACTCAGAATTTGTGTGATTCTATGTAACTTATAGTTAGCTCACATGATTTCTATGTGGCTCTTCTGTGACTCTAGCACGACTGTGGAATGTGGCTTCATCCTAAGTTTAGAAAGTCAGAATATAAAATAGTTCATCATACTTCAATAGTTTTACTAGTTTTCTCAAAGGCATATATCTCATTACCATATATAATCTACTCTAAATCTTTATTCAACAATCTGATTATCGTACTCCTATATGGAGATTACTTCTGTTCAAAAGATCAGGTCTGTAATCTTAAAAAAGCTTATGAGTGTTTTCAACACAGCAAGCGAGTTCTTTACAGAGGTCACTTTTGATAACTTGCTTTATAACGATCGTATTCTAGTTCTCAGCTACTGTAGGAAGATCGTGCCTTAATTCTACCGGCGTTAGCTTATTGGATATGGATGCGATATTCGAGATTGAAACAAAGAAAGAAAGAAGCGCATGTTTTTTGGAAATTTATTCCAAAGCAATTGGTTCATAAAATTCACTTATAAGCTTTTCAATTCAGAAACGTCGTAACAGATTTAGAAATTCAAAAATGTGGAAAAGTGTCTAAAAATCCACCAGATCTTGGAAATGGCAAGAGATTAAAATAGAATGTCTTATTCTAACATTTAAATTCAAGTATGAGGAAGGTGCATAAACAATTTTCCAGTGTCGTGAGTAAAAGAAACACGTTTTCATCTTGCAAGAAATAGTCATAAGATAGCATACACTTCTCAAAAGACCTGGAATATAACTATTAACGTTCAATAGACTGACTTATCGTGCCTATGAATATTTCTTTTCTTTCACTTCCTGTCTAACTCTTTTATTCTTTCTCTCTCTGACTATCTCTCTATTTCTCTCTTTCGACCGACGCTAGTGAATAAGAGGAAACAGCTAGCAAGACTCGAAATAGGCCGCCCGGCCCGACACTTTTATTGATTTTAGTAACGTTTTAGTACATTATATGCTCATTTTAAGAGCTCGAAATTATCATGAATGTTTTATGATAGAAAAAGTATCTAAGCTTATATCTAGTGACTTGGAAAATAAATAAATCCCATTTTGAATGATGAAACGAAAACTCAATTTGATGTATTTCCAAGTTCATTGATTAAAACGACCATTTTCATCAATCAAAATCTGTTATCTTGATTCAAAATCACGGTCGTTGCATTACTTTCATTAAAATTGACTAACATAATCCACTCAAATAATAGCCTATTCCAGGCATATTTCTCGTCTACTAGCGAAGTTCTCCGTTACAAAAATGGTGTTAACTGATGAGCGGAAATGATTCACAGAAAAATGCGCCGAAAATAAGCCACTACCGAGCATAGGAGCTTTAAATAACACTTTATCTAATCCTTCACTTTTGATTAAGTAGTAAATTCATAGCAAATTTACCTTTTTCTGGAAAACAAGGGCAGTTCTATGGATTTTGTGCAGGGCTCTATGAAAAATTGATCTCACGATATTATTGATGTTCTAAGTTAGAGCGCAGTAGAACATAGTCTATTAGCGGGTCGAAAAGTTCTAAACGAGTCAAAATTTAGTTATCAATAAGTTTTTTCTTGTTTACAAATTACTTTTCACCACTAGCTAGCTCACGGTATGGTTGAAATAGAAAAAGAAATATCTTCACTGAGAAATGCAGTGAATTTTCTACAAGTGTAACTCATTTAAAACATAGTACCATAGAGGATATCTTACTATGTAGCATGAGCATTATGGAATTCTGAAAGCTTGAATATTTTTGTTTGTTTTACTTAAGAAGCAACTCAATTTCTTGCATATTAATTTTTTTTTAGTTCCAGAGTCTAAGCTAATTAACCTCAGAATAAGGTCGGGTATTTGCTCATCAGTACATAAACAGTCACTGTAGTAATGTATAAGTTTTATTGAGGAAACAAATGTATAAAAAAAGTTTCATTTGAGTCCGGGGCGGGTCTCAATAGTTTCCGGGCCATAAAAGTGTGGCCCATTTCGAGTCCTGGTGAGGAGAATCGAGCGTGCACCCTCATCTTCGTCCCACCCTTCATCCTGTTCATTACTGTCAATAGAAATAACGAGCAACCTTGAATAACAAGTAATGCTAATCAACAGTCGATTAGTTTAACCCTAGACTGACTTAGTAGTCTGAAAACAGATGTGCATCTACATTCGTCTGTCTCTATGATCTAGTAACCACATGTTAACTATGGTTCAGATGATCATAAATAAAATCTGAAGGACTATAGGGCTGTTTCAAAACGAGCAATAAAGTGCAAAAATTTCTCAAATACACAGAAACAGTGGCCATAAAAATGGTACATGTGACGACAAATATAGACAACATCATCATATATATAGTGTTTTGAACGTTGTGTACGGTCACTCAAGTAACATCTTTGACTGCACGAACCATTATTGTGAGCATTTTGAGCATATTTTTGCGCTTTTGAGTCATATCTTTGATAAATCAACGGTCTAGTTTGTCGCATTTGCGCACATTCAGAGTGTCTTTAAGGATTTTTGATTATATCTTTCGTGACGCAGACCGTAGTTACACTCATTTCTTTCATATTTATCCTCATTTCGACCGAGTTATCGACCATATTTAGCATTAACTCACTCGTGCCATCTCTATGATCACTGACCATAGAGATGGCCTGAGTGAACGATACAATGGTGTAAATAACCAAGAAAGTAGTTCTAATGACCAAAATATTGGTCTAAATAACCACGAGTAGTACCAAAGCTGTCGACATTTGTCTCATCAGAACGATCATTTGTATCATGAAAACGTGATCACTTGTACCGCAAAAATGGTCACTTATACCGCGCAAATGGTACTTTGTACCATGAAAGTGGTCATTTATACCAAGTTTTACAGACAGACAGACACGGGTGAATTTCCGTTTTTAAACCCTATCCTTTCAGTCCAGGGAACAGACAACAAAAATGACAACAGAAAATAAAATCGTGAGGTATAAAATATTTTTCCTCTTGCATTCTCCTAGGTAATTATACGAACATTTTTGCCTGCACATGGTACGTTCGCCGACAAAATGGGCATAAATTGATAACTGAAAATGGTTGGCTGAAACGTTCACAGAAAATCAAGTTAATTTTTCTTATTCAGAATCTGCGAAAATCTTTCTTTAACCTGGCAGCATTCTTGAGATCTAAACCAAAATATGCCATAGATGGCGTCACATCTGCGTTTGTTTTGTAAATATCTTGAGAATACTGCAACGACAACGAAAGATTTTAGTAGATTCTGAACAAGAAAAATTAACTTGATTTTCTGTGAATGTTTCAGTCGAATGGATGGAAAAAGACAGAAAGGACAAATGTCGAAAGGGAAAAATATCGAAAATAAAAATGCCGAAAACGAGAATATGACGTGAACATGAACATGCAGGATTGAAGGTGTGGTTGCCGAGATTTGTACTTCAATATACTCTCGGTTTTAGCATTTATATTCATCTATATTTGTATTATTTTTCTTTTCGATATTTTTCTTTTCTACCTTTTTCCATCATACCTTTCAGCCTATCATTTTCAGTTATCAAATTATGCCTATTTTATCAGGGAGCGTATTAATCATATCTGTGGAGAAAAAATATATATAATCTGACTACACGTCATTAAAAGGTAACATTGATTCAAATAGTATTTATTAATATAATTAACGTCACATTGCTACACGTGAAATACAACTATTGATCACTATAGAATGGGGCAATGTACTCCAAAATGTATCAAACCAAGCATTTCATCTAATTCGATCAATAATGCTAAACAAACGACAATCTCTTCTGAAAGTTTAGTTATAACACCAACAAGCAACAATAATAATTCTACAAGGTCATCACGAATCCGCATTGTTCAAAATTTCGTACTTCTCTGGTTAGATTCGAATATCAATGAGTCCAATGAAGATTTTAAACATTCACTTACTCAACTTCGACGAATCGTCAATACAATCAATACATTTATTGATTCTGATCAATGTATCAATTTTCTCACTCAAATCAAAGATGAAAAAGTATTCATGATTGTATCCGGTTCATTTAGCCAAACAATAGTACCGCAAATACATGATCTATCACAACTTGATTCAATTTATGTATTTTGTGAAAACAAATCAAAATATGAACAATTGACAAAAGAATGGACAAAAATAAAAGGTATTTTTACTCAGATCGAGCTAATTTGTATTACACTCAAGCAAGATACTCAACAATGTGATCGTGATTCTGTCGCAATTAGTGTTACAACTAAAAATTTGGATCGTCTTGAACCATCATTTATGTATACACAATTGCTTAAAAAATTGCTTCTCGAAATGGAATATGATAATAAGGTAAAGAAAGAACTTTGTGAATTTTGTCGTAAACAATACTCTCATAATTTCTATGAATTACAAATAATCGATGATTTTGAACAAAATTATAACGATCACACACCTATCTGGTGGTATACTCGCGAATGTTTTACTTATCAAATGCTTAATCGAGCACTTCGTATACAAGATGTTGAAGTTATTATTAAGATGGGCTTTTTCTTACGTGATGTTCATCAACATATTGGACAACTACATTCGCAAATGAAAGATCAAGGTCTCTTCACTGTTTATCGAGGTAAAAGTATGCCGAATGATGATTTTAATGAGATTAAACAAAAGGAAGGTGGTCTATTGGCTTTTAATACATTTTTATCCACAAGTCTCAATGAAACAGTTTCATTACAATTTGCTCAGAAATCATTACACAAACCAGGATTAGTGGGTGTTCTCTTTCAAATTACTGTTGATCCATCCATTCAATCAATTCCATTCGCTTCAATTGCATCGGTTAGTGCCATTCAGAATGAGGAAGAAATTTTATTTTCTATGCATACCATTTTTCGAATTAGTCAAATCAAACAAATTGCAGATCGCGTATGGCGAGTAGAACTTACATTCACAAACGACGATGACCAAGAGCTAAAACGACTCACTGAACACATGAGACAAGAGACATTAGGCACAACAAAGTTGGATCGATTGGGTCAATTGCTAATCAAAATGGGAAACTTCGATAGCGCTGAAGAAGTCTACAAGATACTATCCTATGAGACACCCAAGGACAATGAGACAGTACGTGCTTCTCGTTTTTACTATCTTGGAGAGATTAAATGTCACAAAGGAAATTATACAGAAGCACTCGAGTTCTATCAAAAATCACTTGAAATTCGAGAAAAATGTCTCCCTTCAAATCATCCGGATTTGGCTGCTACTTACAATGGTATCGGTTTAATACATGACAACATGGGTGAATACGCAAAAGCACTCGAATTTTATCAAAAATCACTTGACATCCAACAAACATCTATTTCTTCAAATCAACCCAAATTAGCTGAAACTTATAACAACATTGGTGCGGTGTATTTACACTTAGGAGATATTTGGAAAGCACTCGAGTTTTACCAAAACTCACTTGAAATTAGTCCAACATATCTTCCACCAAATCATCCAGATATGGCTAGTATCTATAACAATATTGCTCAAGTGTATCATCGCATACAAGAATATCCTAAAGCGCTCGAATTCTATCAAAAATCACTTGAAATTCGACAAAAATCTCTTCCTGAGAATCATCCAGATTTGGCTATTCTCTATACCAACATCGGTTTGATGCATTGTAATATGAAAGAATTCTCAAAAGCATTTGAGTTCTATAAAAAGGATCTTGACATCAAAAAAATATCTGTTCCTTCGAATCATCCACATTTGGCTATTACCTATAACAATATCGGTCTGGCACATTTCGGCATAGGAGAATACTCGAAAGCACTCGAATTCTATCAAAAATCACTTGAAATCAGCCTAACATCTCTCTCACCAAATCATGCAGAGCTGGCTACTGTCTATATCAACATCGCTCAAGTGTATCATCGTATGCAAGAATATTCGAAAGCAGTCGAATCCTATCAAAAATCACTAGAAATTCTAGAAAAATCTCTCCCGTCGAATCATCCAAATTTTTCTCTTCTCTACAGCAACATCGGCCTTGTGCACGATAACATGGGAGAATATTCGAAGGCACTTGAGTTTTATCAAAAGTCACTTGAAATCAGCCTAATCTATCTTCCTCCAAATCATTCAGATTTTGCTTCTATCTATGGCAACATCGGTGAAGTATACCAACACATGCAAACATATTCAAAAGCACTCGAATTCTATCAAAAATCACTTGAAATTCGGCAAAAACTTCTCCCTCAGAATCATCCAACTTTGGCTAATCTCTATGGCCATATCGGTTTGGTATATTATAACATGGGAGAATTCTCCAAAGCACTCGAATTTCATCAAAAAGACCTTCAACTCAAACAAGAATCGCTCCCTTCGGATCATCCACATTTGGCTATTACCTACAACAACATCGCATCGGTTCATTTCAACATAGGAGAGTACTCGAAAGCACTCGAGTTCTATCAAAAGTCACTTGAAATCAATCTAACATCTCTCCCACCAAATCATCCAGATTTGGCTAGCATGTACAATATTATCGGTTTGATTTATTGCAACATGGGAGAGTTCTCAAAAGCACTTTCCTTTTACGAACATGCCGTTGACATTGGACAAAATTCACTTCCTGACAGTCATCCTTATCTGCAATTATACCGAACATGCCTGGCTGAAGTACAGACAAAATGTAATTCGCTTTGATTTGTTTGTAACTTACAGGGTGGTCCAAAAAAAACTTACCCCCCCCCCCCCCCCCCAATTGTCTTTTAACGTCTTTTTTATGAACAAGTGCATTTCAAATACAAAACTATTTTTATTTCAAAAACTATAAACATCGATAATCATCGTGAGTTAGGCGTTGCCCGTCATTTTTAGTTAACAGAGAAGTTCGTCTAACCATTGATGAGAATATAGATTGGTATTGCTGGGACGAAATTGATTGCCAAATTTTTTTGATTTGTGATTTCAGTTGATTGTTAGTTGAATATTTCACATCAAGTAGTTTTTCACGTATAATGCCCCACACTGTTTCTATAGCCCATACATCATTAAATTTAGGGCTTTGAACATCGACAGGAATTCTTTCATTGAATAAGGCATCGATGTGTTGAAGCACCGCTTGGGTGCGATGAATACGTGCAGCATCATCTTGGAAGATTGGTATCTGATTTCAATATTGTTGCATAATAGCTGGATAAGCAATAGTTCTAATGAGATCAGCATATCGGGTACCATTCATTGTTTTCTTGGCACGTTTTGACCATTGATATCCTTCCAAAAACTCATCGATAAGCACTGGTGCCTCTCGTGGAATTAAACCATTCCAACTTATGCCACCCCAAAGCATAACACCAGGAGCAAATTTTTTACGACCATAATAACCACCATGTTTATCAGCAACTTGTCGACTGGTGGACCAAATAATATCATTTTTGGAGTTGAGCTGTGGTGTAAGACGGAAGGGTTTAGAAAAGTCAGTATTCACAAGTCGTTGCCATTTGAGGGCTGCGCGAATATAAGTACAAATTGTACTCTGGAAAGAATATGACCCCGAAACTTAGAATTTGAGAATTTGTAACGTCAGGTACTCTCATACACTCTCATGTATTCTAATGTACTGTAATATATGCTCCACTGTTGGGGAAAAGCCTTTAGTTTTCAGAAGTCGTACTGTCCTGTACTCTCATGTACCGTCATGTACTAGGAAAAAACCTAGAATTTGTAGAATTTGTATTCTCATGTAGTTTCATGTATTGACACCCACACCCACATTAAACGTTGGAAGGCATCATTAGCGAGTACGATAGAGAGCTCAATTTACTTTTGAATAATCCTTGTGTGTTCATTGACATGTGTCAAACTGATTGCTCAGTTGCTGCTTAGTAAATTTATTGCATCTAGGTAAATAATTAATCCTTATTTTAAAATAGTTGAATAACAGAAGCTCCGACGAAGCGAAGCCAGTTGAATGCCTCTGATACACCATATCTTCAAATTCTCCATTTTTTAAGAAATTTATTAACAAAGACTGTTTGTACGCCATTTGTAGTAGCATGATGGAATTGATTCCATCGATGCCTTATCATACTTTTTATTGAAGATTTCTTAAATAATGCTTTCTAAACATTATTGCAACTATTACATAGCAGAATGTGGATGAGATAAAAATGATCTAATCTCATATACACCATTCAGATCACCTATACCTAAACTCACCTTCACCCTCTGTTCTTTATCTGGAGCAAGATGCAAAATGCTTATCAAGAACAAAGAAAGCAATCTATTAGTAATCACTAGGAACATGGCTGTTTCCAGCAGTAATAGTTATTAAGTAAAGAAGGTGCTAGTGTGAGTCTAGATTATGTATCAATATTTTTTTTCTGTCGTATGTTAATTGTTTTGAAACTAAAGAAGACAAAACAGTATAAAAAAATAGCATTTACGGCTTAAGTGACGAAATTTTTGTTTTAAGAATATAATCGAATAATGATTCCTGAGTAGATCTAGTAGAATAGAGTTCAAGATATTTATATAAATGTCGTACTTTTGCTTCTTCACTTAATAAATATTGATAAACGTCAAAGAATGAGTTAACTAAATTTCCATCTAGATAAGCTGCATAAACTAGTGGACGTCCAGCTTCCGAAGCAGTCATTAGTTGAATAATTGCTAAAAACAAAAATATTCGAACAACATTTCATACGATATTTTGTTAAATTTTACCTTTCAGTTGTTTACTACCGTTGAATGCACCACAACCCCAATTTCCAGTAGCAATACCAAACAAACTTTCTGATGCATTCTTTGCTGGCCGAGGACGAAAGCTCGCGTAAGCTTTAATTAACTCACGGCGCACGCATTTCATCTGATACTGCACAGTTGGATTACGAAAATAAATAGCATCCATAGCTACTACATGGCACCATTTTTGACCCCAATTATCTCTAAATACGTGAAATATTCAAGATGTTTAGTCTTTCAATGAAAACCTCAAATTAAACAGATTGATAAATAGCCTTATGAAAGTTTATAATATTATATTTAGAATTATGAAAACTAATTAGTTTATTAATCATGCTTGATTGTAACTTCTGTTATTTGATAGTAAACAATACTGATTTGAAAAGCAACGTCTAATTGCCAAAACTCAGCATTGAGATATTTTTCAATATTCAAGCAAAAACATTATCCTTATTGTGATTCTTACTTTTATAAATAATAGAGTATAATGATATAAATTTCTTTAAAAACATTGCTTACTTAGGTGTAGTATCTTTATAGTTTCCTGCAAAATGAAATGAATCAGCATAACCATCATATGATGAATATCGTTCGCATCCGATAAGAAAAATACATTCGTTCGACTCCATTTTTTCGCAAACAAGTAAACTAACAAGCATTTCAGGACAGATAGTAAAACGAATCTCTTCTTGTACACAACCAGTACCTAAAACGCCACCTCCCTATTTTTTTAATAAAAATACTTAAATAATAAGAAAAAAACCAGCCATGTTCTTTTTTTTTATACACCTACAATATATTGATTAGCAAAATCAACCTAACAAAGAAAAGAATCGAAAATACGTAAAACTTAATCGTTCAATTTACTTGTAAAACACAATTAACATCTTCTATCTTTTCACCCGTTGTCAAGTGTAAGGGAGAGATATTGGCATTTGAATGTAACCAATCCGGATAAGAACTATCAGGTAATGAATAACGCCGAAATGTAATTACCCCAGTGGGCACTAAATAATAAAAATGTTAGAACAGAGATGATAATGGGCAATTCGAAGCCATTCAGACAATACTCTTGTCCACTTCTAACTGTTATCTTGTTCAAGAGTAGTGAAGTCATCTTTGAAACACTTACAAAATCAGTTTGGATGTATTTTGTGAGTGCGACATTTGTCACGAATTTGTTTGTTCATTTTGACCTTTTTGAAAGCAATTTCGACGAATCGTAAACAGTAGGTGTGAGTAGAAGTTTGCATTTTTCAATATAGGTTTAGAAATGTTCTATTACTGAGAAACTCATTAAAATATCTGTAAAATTATTTTCTAAAGCGTATTTTACTATTCTTGAGTAAAAGTTAAGAGAAAATTTTTAAGCTCATTGAAAATATTTCCTAGTGAGTCAAAAGTAAACAAACATCTTGTGTAAAAAACGTTTTTACGATCACTCATTATTCAAACTCGGTTACACTTACTTTTTTCTGTGATTCGTTTAAAATAATGTAAAATACATCTGACTTTTTCTATTTTTTGCGGAGGTCCATGAATATATAATCTTGAAAGTTAACGGTAAATTATCGATTAGAAACCTATTAATTATGTACTTTTACTTTTTAAAATTCGGATCTTGAAAATTTGCATAGGCTTCGTTAGGTTTATCATCATGACGAAATGGAAATAAACAGAAAAAGGCGCATGCTAATAATGAAGCAGCTTGTCGTTGAGACATAGTAACTAAAAGATTTGTTCCAATACGTAACAATGGTGGTGGCTAAAACAAAATATATTTCAAGTATGAGATTAAGACAAAAGAAATAAATGGATACTCGACTACAAATTTTATCAACATTCAGTGCAAGATCACAAATATTAGATAAAACAGTTGACATAAAATAAGCACGTTCATCATGTGAATAAACCTATGAATGAGTATTGATTAACTTTTACATTTAAAAGAAAAACAGACACCTTTTTAATGACTGTTTCCAGACAATACATATCAAAACTTTGTCCAGCGCATTTTTCAATCACTGCCTGTGGTAATGATTAGTTTATTTCCAATTATAGTATAAATTGAAACTCATTACTTTTAAGTCGTCAACATCAGCCTTTTTTTTATCGCATCTTTTTTTGAGATGAACCAATTCGGGACAAATCGTCGTCCATACACTGTGTCCATTTTTCTTTGTCAATAGAAATCGATATACAAAAAAGACTAAAATATCCTTTAACTTACAAATTTAAACGATCGTGAACATGGCATACGAACATGATTTTCATCCCATCGGTCAAGATAAACACTTCCACTAAAAATCGGTGTTGGTTCACGATCAGGATTCGATTGATCAAATTTGAATGGCTATTGAGAACAGTTATAAACAAGCTGTCTTCAATATAAATAAAAATAGCTTACTTTAATCATGAATACAGAATTTCTCTTCTCGATTGTTTCCATAGCGGGCTTTTCAGGAGGTTGACGAAAATTATTGATAATTGCTTCGAATTCTGTACCCTAGAGAACAATATCTCGAAATGAAAAACAAACAATGAATGATAGAATTTACTTTCGATATTTTGCCATGGACTGCATTTGCTTTGTCAGGTTCGCGAAGAAACGCAATCTCTACATAATTTTTAAACGTTAAATTTTCTGAAAAATTTCCATTAAAATACATGCAAATCTAACATACTTCTTCTTGGAGTTGCTGCACGATGATCGCGTTGGATGTGTTCTCGTGGTGTGATGACTTGCTCACTCATATTATGATATGAAACTTTCACACAACTTAGTCTTTCAACTCACGACCCATGTGAAAATTTTTGCCTTTGTAAGCTATTTTTAAGCGGCTTAAATAAGCTTACACTTCAATTAAGTGCTTTAAAGCGCTTAAATACTACGGTCTTAAGCTGCTGAAAGCGGCTTCAACTAATTAAGCCGCTTAATATAGCTTACAATGCGCTTTGATAAGCGCTTTCCAGCGCTTATCATGAAAAGTGCTGAAAAGTACCGTAGATTTTTATTTATTTAAGCGCTTTCCAGCACTTATCATGGAAAAAGCTGAAAAGTACTGTGAATTCTTATCCTTCTAAGCACTTTTCAGCACTTATCATGAAAAAAAGCTGAAAAGTGCTGTAAATTTTTATTCTTCTAAGTGCTTTTCAACGCTTATCATGGACAAGGCTGAAAAGTGCTGTGAATTTTTATCCTTCTAAGCGCTTTTCAGCACTTATCATGAAAAAAGCTGAAATCCATGTGAAAATTTTTGCCTCTGTAACTGGCATCCCACTCCGCCTCTTTTCCCTCCTTTTCCTCTTTTCTTTCAAAATTCGTCTTTTTACACTCTTTTTTCAGAAAAATCCTCTTTTTCCTCTTTTCTCACGACAAAGTAGGCTGCTGGCGAAAACATCCATGAATATATTGATTAATGTTACCATATCATACAAAAATATCACATAATACAAACTGATGTGTAGATCAATCGAGTTGTATAATTATGGAGGCTAAAGTAGATGATTTTAGTGATCAACTCCAGTGATATTTTATATTCCTAATTGAGACTCAATTTTTATAACTTTCTAGAGTAGGCAAAATCACTCAATTATATTTTCGATGTGAACTCATCATTTTCTCACGATTTTGGCAAGTTTTCTGGTTAACATCGACATGTAAAATCATAATCGTGAGCTTACTTTTCTTGACCGTTTTCTCGGCACCACAGAAGCTCGTGATGTAAATCTAACAATGGATGACTATCTCATAGCGTAACGCATGCGTCAAAGTGAGAAGAAGTCTCCAGAGTGGCTAGGCCTATCCTAGAATCCTGTCAGATCCGATGGGATTTCTTCGGCAAGATAGCTTCCGACACTATGATGTCGTAAGTTGAAGATTTCTGCTTATCAGATACCGATAAAGGTTTTCATGTTGTATCCGGCAATATTTGATCCTTCAAAATTGCTGCGATCATTACAGATCCCGTGGTGCGCTGCTAGATTACCTTATGCGATTGATTTACTGTCAAAACGAAGTACAACTCTTCTCCTTCCGAGTTTCTCCGTGTACAATCACATTTTGGACGATCGTATATCTCCAAACCGTACATGGAGAAATATGATCTTATACGAAGAAACACAGAGTAAAATGAAAGCCGTATACGAGCTTTGTTTGTCCATAAACGATCGTATTTCTGCGCATACGATCACGGAGTTATACAATCGTAATACTGGGTAATGTAAAACGCCGCATTTCTCCGATTACAAGTGTGTTTGCTTGACATAGGTTAATATTGACAACGATTTGATGATACTTGGAAGAAATCAGATATGATGGAATGCGATAGCGACAAACGGGGCGCCTCGATGACCAAAAAGCAGGGAATCATATAATCTACCCAATACAAATAAGTCCTTTTCTACAGAACGCAGAAATATCACCATATTTCACTGGGAAAAATCAAGCGTTTTCGATAGCACGGGGCCAAACAATTTTTCAAAACCTCGCTGTCTGGATACCATTGCAACCAATGTATTAATTTACGCTGGGAAACGGAAAAGTGAAACTGACTTGAGAAAAACGATCAAAATCATGGAAGAATTGCTGGAAATTGCAAAAAACGAAAAAAATACCTTTCTCACATGTGCAGTCATCTGAAAAAAACGAACAAAAAGCAAAAAAGACATTTTATGAATTCTGATCGTTTCTATTTCTGTGTGCCTACTTAGTCAGATAGAGTAATATTATAGCCAGATAATACGCAAATAGAATAGACTATTTTTCTAATGTTTTCCCGTTTTCTAATGCATACATAACCAATTGCACAAACATCTCTATGAACAAGTGGAAGTTTCGTTTCTTTTTTACTTTTTTCAAGTCATATTCAATCTGTATTGATAACGTACGAGTTTTATTGGATTTATACTACTATTGTGCCGATGGGTTTTAGTTTTCTTCGGACAAAAACTGTATGCCGCTTTTTCTCCTCTTTTTTCCAAGAATGCTGTGCCTCTTTTTTCCTCTTTTTTTTACAAAGTGTTGGTGGGATGCGAGCTCTGTAAGCTACTTTGAAGCGGTTTAAATAAGCTTACACTTCAATCAAGTGCTTTAAAGCGCTTAAACATTACGGTCTTAAGCTACTGCCAGCGGCTTCAACCAATTAAGCCGCTTAATATCGCTTACAATGCGCTTTGATAAGCACTTTCCAGCGCTCATCATGAAAAGTGCTGTAAATTTTTATGCTTTTAAGCGCTTTGTGGCGCTTATCATGAGAAATGCTGAAAAGTACTGTAGTCTTTTATTCCTTTATGCGCTTTCCAGCACTTTTCATGAAAAGCGTTGAAAACTACTGTAAACTTTTATCTTTGGAAACTTGAAAATGCTGTTATCTTTCATATGTTAAAACGACACCCATGTGCAAATTTTTGGCTTTGTAAGCTATTTCTCACCAGCTTAAAAAGCTAACCCTGCAGTAAGCTACTGTAAAGCGCCGAAGTACATCCATTTCAAACTTCTGAAAATTACTTCGCTAAGAAAAGCCGCTTCCCAGTCAGACAAAAATTTTGAAAAACGCGTTTAAACGCACAATCGGGGACCGCGATTGTAAGCCATTAACGGTCATTAAAAAAACGCACGAAAACGCGTTTATTGGCGTTTTCTGTAACTTTCTGAGAGTCAAAATGGCGAAAATTCCAGCTTTTGAGCGTTAAAACGCACTATTATTCTAGAACTTAAAAACAATACGTTTTAACGCTCAAAAACTGGAATTTTCGCCGTTTTGACGCCCAGAAAGTTACAAAACACGCCAATAAACGCGTTTCCATGCGTTTTTTTTAGTGAGCGTTAATGGATCACAGTCGCGGTTCCCGATTGTGCGTTTAAACACGTTTTTCAAAATTTTTGTTTGACTGGGTTAACGTAGCTTATAAAACGATTTTTCAAACATTCTAAGCTCTTATCATGAAAATCGCTGATAAGTACTGTGACCTTTGTTACTTCTAAGAACTTTACACCACTTTACATGAAAATCGCTGAAAGCCCATCTCGTCAATTTTTCATCAAAACCGCCGGTTACCGGCAGCTCATAGGAAAATCGCCGGTTTGAAGCGGTTTCTGTTTGTTTATCAATTTTTTAATAATTTTTCTTCTAAATTAATATTTTTAGTCTTAAAAGAATCGGTTGCAACTCGAAAAAGTCTAGATAATTATGCAACAGTAAAATTCTGTCAGATGGAGCCATTGTTTTTTGTATTGGTTAAGTTATCTGACGAATAACTATTTTTATGGTGCCATCTTTCATAAAAATCTAAACTCGAAAACTAGGCGAATATAGTAGATGTGACTGGTACTGGCGGCTTCAGCGCGTTTGCATATGTAAGGGGCGAGGATTTCAACATAATTCTAACGGTTTTGTAAGAGTTTAAAAATATTCACCCTTTGTGATGTGAGAAAACGTTTAGCTGTCGAACCGCGGTTAACCGGACGGTCAAGCTCCCAGTTAACTTGATGGTTAACCGCAGTTAACCGTCAGTTTTCGAGCGCTTTGAGCGACATGGGAGTGCTTCATTTTTTCTTATATTTAAGCGCTTGGCATAATTTACATTAAAAAGTATTGAGAAAGGTCAGTGACTCATTCAGAAGGCCAGTTAGAGCAAGCATTGATTGCCAATTTACCTTACTTTTCGAAATATTTTTTTTTGTTTTTTCTAATTAGAAAATGATCACAAAATGAGTCGATATCACTGTTAGTGGAATTCGAAACACTTGTTTTTTTGATCAGGATCAGCCTTTTTCAACCTCCTACGTATACCACTGCGGTCTTGTCGTTTTCTCAAATTTGAGTCCTAGAAATCGTTATAATATTTGATTGCGCGTGCTGTAGTTAAGAACATTTATAGTCACGGTAAACTTTGGAGTAACATCTGCTTCAGATTTCACTGGATGCTTGCAGATCAACACTCTAACATGGAGCATATCGCTTGCTCTAACTTAACTTAGCCATAATGTTTACCAGTGGCGAAGAATTCGTTATTATTCACTATCAAAGCTATTCGAAGATGCCAGCTCTTCCAATATGCCAGCAAAAATTTAGAATTTTTAGTTTTTTGTGAATACTTTTCCATTTTCTCATTGTTTTTTACTTTTGAGACTTTGTCCAATTTCAAGCCTTTTTCAGTCTGAATGAAATTGAAATATAACTATTTATTACGTGCACACTCGATGGTGTCGGTAGATTTTTCGATTTTTCCAATGAAATAAGAGCTGATTTAAGAAGTGTTGGGGGTGATTGTCTTCCATGTAAAAGTTTATTCTCAGTTTCTTCTAGTAGAAGAAGCTTAAAAATGAGCTTTTACTATCTTTTATGAGCTTCAAAACACGTTCTATGATCATGATCGCCCCTAATCTCCATTCAATTGCCGCACAAGCTAAAAACCCTAGATCCGCCATCGAGAGAAATTCCAATTTGTTAACTGGTTTCTGGCCCCTTTTTTTAACTTTTAAACTCTTTTTCAGTTTGTTGCAATTTTTTTCTTTTATGTCAGCTTTTTAAAATTTGCGAACGTATGTTTTTTTACTCCTTTTTCCGTGAAGTTTGCTCAGGATTTTTCTGATAAAGAATCATTCCGAACTAAATAACTTTCTTGAGTTCTTCCTACGAATCGAACTGTATATTTATCTATACTATTTTTGTCAATTACTTGTATCTTATAGTACATTTTAAGACAATGTATATCAATCAGTAGAAACAGTAAGAGAATTTATTGGAACAAAAAAGATAACATCGATTCGTTCGTAAAAAACAGTGTCCAGTTTTCCGATTTTCAACAAAATGTCTGAGGTCTTTTTGCTTTTGGAAATAAAAATTCCGATTTTGACTTTTCCATTTGGCATCTCTGCCGCTATTGCATATTAAGTCACTCAATACAGCGTTGCTATTGGTTCATATTTGTGCCATTGTTCGGTGCGATACTTTACGAATACACGACCATAGAACAGAACAAAACTGAACGAAAGAATAATTCAACAGTCGTTTAATATAATGATAATGTAGTGATCATTTGAAAAAGAAATCTAAGGAACTGACGATACGCCAAAAAGTAATTTTATTATTAATCCCTCACATGTATGTACAGAAGGTAAGTCTTGTTTATTTATTTTTTGTTAAGTGATTTATAAAACAGCCTTGACCCATTGAATTCCTGATCTACGTCTTGAAAAGTAGTGAAGAGTAATAGATATCTTTTGTTACATGCAAGTATTTGTGAGTCGTATTTTCAAGTATTTTTCTGAGGACCCAATTTCTTGCTACATAAATTTGAAATATTACGTCTCTTTCATTAATTCGCTTACATTGTTTTACATAGCTTTTCTGAATTTAGTTCTTCATACTTTTTTTTATTGATATGGTGAAAATTTTTAATTAAAAAGAGTGATTGACATCATTTTTATCACTTTATTTTACAACATTTCGCTGGTACCTAACAATATCATCAGTCATAAAAGGAAGAAATAAATAAACAAACCAATGAAAAGTTACAAGGAAGCATTAAATGAATATAATTTCTATTTTAATCTTGTTGTCTTGTAATATTCATTTTTAACTTTCTTTTGTTTGCTATCTATTTCTTCCTTTTATGACTGATGATATTGTGAGTTAATAATGAAACATCTTAATAAAATTGACTGCAGTAGTGTCAACTATTCTCTTATTTTTATTAGTCTTTCTTTTTTTTTATTTTTGTAGAGAAATTTTTCCGTTTATCTTTTTTATAACTAAACATTTATTCTTTTTCCAAATAGTGACATTGAATGTTTAAGTACGCGGCGAAATAGAATAGTCTTGATAAGAGGTTTGTTCACAATAAGCTAAAGTTTTTTTTTTATATAAAACAGTGACTGTGAGTGCCTTGCATTTTATTCTACATCCTAGTATAGCGTCAGTTTAGATTAATTTCTGCAGAAAGTGTTGAGAACGAAACTTACTAGTTAAGGATACTATAACAGTAAAGTGAAGTATTTTAGGTGAATTAATTACTGTCGAACATGAGACTAGGCGTTTAATGGTTAGGCACTACATTATGTTTAGATATTGAGTCGTAAATAGATCTTGTACCACTTACGAGCTAATATTTATTGTTGATCCTATTCTATTGCCATGATTTAGTGTCTATATGTAGAGGACTTCTAAAATAATATGATATCCAAATGAGTTCGACTAGTTCCCAATAATTATTCGAGATAATATCTTTATACTCGCATCCCTCTGCGCAAATACTTTTTGAGAAAAAAACATTTTTGAATTTCGAACCGTAACTCTGTAGCTACGGTTCGAAATTCAAAAATGTTTTTTTTTTCAAAAATTACTTGCGCAGAAGGATACGAGTATAAAGATATTATCTCGAATAATTATTGGGGACTAGTCGAACTCATTTGGATATCATATTATTTTAGAAGTCCCCTACATATAGACACTAAATTATAGCAATAGAATGGGATCAACAATGAATATTAGCTCGTTGAAACTCGGCGCTTATAAGCGCTTAAATATGTAATTATAAGCACTTTTCAGCTGCTTAAAATGTGCGCTTTTAAGCCCTTAAACTGCTTAGAATTTCAGCGCTTGAAAGCGCTTAAACTTTCAAGGGTAAGCGCTTGAAAGCGCTGAATTATACATATTTAAGCGACTTTCAGCGACTTAAAATGTGCGCTTTTCAGCGCTTTAAAGCCAAAAATTTAAGCTAATTTAAGCGCGCTTTTCTGCTTAAATTTTCACATGGGGAATACGATGCGAGCCACGTGCACTTTCTTTTGCAAAATAAGTAAGATAGATATTCGCAACTATCGACAAAGTATTTCTTTTCTGCACTATGCAAAGCACATTTTTCTTTCACCAAGAGAAAAAAAGTCATTTGAAAGCAAACGGAAGAAAGAGAACAAACAAAATTTATCTTTTTCTTTTGCGAAATTTGAAAAGTCAGTATCCTCATATGCATACGAGGGTGTAGATGTGTGGATGTAGGCATGACTGTGGCTATTCATCTTGTATCTATCTACACCCAAACCTACATCCTTAAGATTTTTGTGCTCAATATATATTTTGTAACAAGTTCCCAATTCAGGATGTGGGTGTGGGTATGTGTATGCGTGCGACTAAAGAGAGGAATGACACACATTTCCACACCCGACCCATAGCCATACCCCACACCCACACCCTCATCTAATAGACGAATAAACTCCTTGGATGCTGCTTTATCAGTTACTTTTCTCGAATGTTTTCCTTGTCGACTAATGCAATCATAAACAACTGTATCATCTAATTCAGAACGATTTATAATTAAATGATGAATTTTATTATCAACTACAGATTGACAATGATTCTCTGGACGACTTTTCATTGTATCTTTAGACCAACAATAATCGATAATACATTGAGACTATACATCAAATTCAGTATCTGTTAATGCTTTAATAAATTGAAGTTTTTTCTATCTAAAATCAATAGATTTGAGACTGATCATAAAGAACGTCCAGGAACAAGTTCGTCAATCACAACTGATCAGTATATGAGAAGATCAGACGCAACGGGACATCTGGACACTTATTACGATTCTTTGATCGCTTTTTTTAAACATAACTCTCGAAATTTACAATTTTCATTGGTTTTAAGCAGCATTTTAGAAAATATATCTAGTTATAATTCTATGAAGCATCATTTACAAATAAATCTGAACATCTAACGGATCAAAAAATGTGATTTTTACATGAAAGTTGTTTATGAACGATCCCTTAAAATTATTTTTAATTCGTATTCACAGGAGCATTAACTTGATGATCCCCAATGCACAAATAGTCTTCATCCTGAACATTACTTTTAATACCTTTACTGTTTTCAATCAGAATATTGTCATTAAAATCTTGTAGAACAGCTAATGGTAATTCATTAATATATGTTTTACATAGGGAATCAATATGTTGCGATGCATAAAGACATCCATATATGCTTTGATAATCTATTTGAATATTTCTGTAAAATTCAACGATGTATAAGAGCAGTATGTTCAAAACTGATGAACGTTCTTGAATATCAATATTAGTTAAATGTTGAATAAATTCAGCAAGAATTTCAAAAGAAAACAAAACATTATTCGGCGTGTTCAAAGATAACGCTGTTATATATTTTTTTCGTAGATTGCTGCATGCTTTTTATTCGATGTCTATTCGTTTGAATCGGTTCTTTTAACTTCTGAAGAGCCGTTTCTGCGACTCTTACCACAAAAGATCGCGTCTGCGCCGACAAAAACTTCTTTAGTCTCTACTAGAATGTAAGTGCATGCTATGTGAAACACCAGATTTTCTCTAACTAGAGACAGAGGTTTGGTCTCCTTTGAGCTGGAATTTTTTCTCGGTGCTCCTACTGACTATTTTTTTTTTCATTTTTTTAACATAAACAACAAACCTCTGGTCGAGAGAATAAAACTACTAAAAACTGTAAATCTTTACTGTCAATATTTTATAGCTTCTTTTTTTTTAAGACACGTAGAATAAGTATAGATTACTATCGTTAAACTTAATCTTAAGCAGAAAAATCAAAACTTAACACAAAAATCAGTATTTTTTTTGGAGAGATTCAACGCTAGATAAGTGAATCAAAGGCCAAATTCAGGTTTGAATTCTACACACTCGCTATCTGACGTTCGTAGTATTGAAATTATTACTCAATTATATAAAGTGAAAATACTACCAAAAATTAGGTTTTCGTAATAGCGTTACGTTCATCTAGAAAAAAAGTAATGCATGAGAACCGTTCTGAAAAGTTAATTAAGATATACTAGTTTATTGACTGGTATTCCGTCAGTGGCTCACAGAAATCTTACAATAGGATCTTTTTCGTAACGCTGTGACAGCAAAATTGGTCAAGTTCTATCTTGAAAATAACAAAATACATATTCTTACAATTTCGCATTCGCTTTACAACATGATAGAAACATTTGTTTCGAATTTTGAAATAAATACTTAATGCCTGAAGTGGCGCGTTACTTAAACAAGCCATAGTGCACTAATATTATCTTATTCAAGAGCACTCTGCTAAGTGAAAAATGTTTGATTGTTCTTGATATGAGCTATTGTTTTGCGAAAAGAATGGAAAACTCAAAGACAACAAATGTAATAATTAGAACGATGGAAAAAGATCAAATGCCATTGTTACTTAGCAATCTTAGTTCTTTACTTCAAGTATCGAAGTTAAAATGAAGACTTAGTCCATAACTAATGAAATAAAGAATCAATCTTCTAAACTCTTAAATCTCCTTATTTACAAACACATGAAATTTCATGTAGCTGTTTCCTTTTAATGATTGTGATTGTTTTGTTTAGTCTTTTGATGCTTTTTATGATTGTCTTTTTCATAAGTTATGTTGTATCAATTAGACTGTTCTTGTTTGCTGAGTTGTTAATAAAAATGTACGTAAGCACAAAAGAATAACTATGAATATGTTATAACAAAATGAAAAATTGAAAGAAAGTTTCAATTGTTTGTTGTCGATTTCTTTTTTGACTTTTTACTGTTAGTATTGTTGCTTGCTGATGATGGTCCATTAATAAAATTGAGCAATTCATCTATATTTTTATCACCTTGATGACCTGGGATGAGCTCAGCACGTGTTACATCTTGTTTTTGAGTTTTCTTAGCCTTTCGTTTCATTAACATTTCATTTTTGGCAGCTGTTGCCGATGAATGTTCATCATTTTGATCAAAAAATAATGGATGATGATGATGAGATGGATCATTACATGAATGAGAATGCTGATGCGTTGAAGAGGCATCATATATTGGTACATTCTTAGTTGTTGATGACTGTTGATCAACTGATGTCGTAATATTGTCGTTTGTATTTTCAATATTTGTTGAAGCCATTGACTATCTGAAATTTAATATTGAATATTTAAGCATTGCTATAGAAAAACTCTAAATTCCTGAACCAATACAATACTAACAAAACAACTAGTATCACAAATTTTTTCTAAGTATTAACAATGTTTTTTTCGCTATTCCTCTCATTGCTATTGTTGGAATGTTTACATTAAACAACACATATAATTCAAAATAATCTTGTTCTCTAAGAAAATAACATTTATGTTCAATTTGATCATCATTATCATTAACCATATACATTTCATTCATTTTTGATTCATTCTGTGTATTATCAAATGATAATAATTTTTCTGTTTCTACTCGAACTATTTCCATATAAAATTGTTTTAAAAGTCTATAACGTTGTATTTTAATCGTTCGTGATAATGGAGTATGACTTTTCATTGGTTCTAATGTACTAACACAAAAATGTGTTTGTCGATTAATATATAACAGTGCTTGAATATTATGATCGAAAACAATATTATCATGAAATGAACGTGGATATAAAAGACTATTTAAATTTTGTATATGTTCTGTTTGTGAATGACAATATCGATCAACAATACTTTCAAATTCACTCATTTTTGGTGTTGTTGAACAAAGTATTGATACATATATTTGACCAAGTAATCGAACAGAAAGTAAACGATAATTATGTGAACGATCAATTGAATCAAGATAAACAGGCATATCACGAATAGTTGGTAAAATATCATTTGAATAATCATTTAATGCAATAAGAAGTGTTAAAATATATTGTTCAGCTTGAGTTAAACGTGACCATCCTGTACTTGATGCAATTATACGATTTGATAATGTTATACAAACGTGTTCACATTGTAAATGGTCAGATATTTGTTTTAAACATGAATACATTATACTAAAATATGAGATTGAAATTTCATCATGATTTATTTATCGAACATAGAAAAAAAAAATTATCGTACTACTAAATAAGGTATAGTCAGTTTCAATATGAAAATCATGAAGATCAAGTATAATTTAGTTATCGTCAAGTTCATACTCAAGCAGATTACCAGCTTTTTTTTTAAATATAAATAGTCATCAAAAAATATTTGCTATTACTTTTTTTTTATGTATAGAAAATATTCCATATAATTCAAAATTCAGACATTGTTGTTAATAAATAATATAGAACTTGACATAATTCTTTTAAAACTTTATAATATATGATTATCGTTTACTTTGGATCTTATAAAATATTCAAAAGAATCTCGACAAGTTCTATGTTATTTATTAATACTATTCACAAAGATGAGTGCAAAAATCTTAGTAAAAAAAAAAACTCTCAATCTATTAAGATGAAAGATGAAAAATATATAAGTTATTCAACAGTTATTTTAAACTTACTTTCGATCAAAACCACAAAGTGTATCAGCACATTGAGTTATATCTCCATATGAAAATGTACGTTCATCATTTAAAATAGTATCAACATAATATTTAACTAAATTTAAATCATTTTCTAATTTTTGTGGATTTGTTTGACTTATTTTATCAATATATTCATATCCAATAATCATATTAAATAAAGTTCTTAATAAAACTAATTTATATTGTGTACATTCATTTGGTATATCATATTCTGTTGGTTCTAATAAACACATTAATAAATGATCATTATATTCATAAAAATGTATTGTACAATCATCTGTATGACATGAACGAAGTTGAATACCAAATTTTGTTGAAAATGTATAAGAACTTGTTAAAATTCCAATTAAAGCAAGTGGAATTTGATTATCTGATGGTCGTTCTAATAGATTTAATATCATTTCAGGTGAATGTTCATTTCGTTCAAGTATATTTGTTGAACGAATAAGTAATGGATAACCATTATTTGTATTAACAAATACTAAACAATAAGCCATTGATATTAAGATTGTCCAACAGTATGAAATATAACCGTTGATATGAATAATAAACTAAATCAGCCATCGTATATGCACAATGTCTTGGATATAATCGGATTCGACGACAGAATAAACGAGATAAATAAAAGAGGTCGTAAGGTATTGAACAATTGATTGAACATATTTAATTCGAAGAAAAACGATAAAAAACAAAAAGAATTAATTTTTTTTTGATTCATGATTTCATGACAGAAATTTGAGTTTACATTAGTGTTATTATTGTATGTTTACATGTTGTGTAAGGTTGAATGTGGTATGTATATCATTGTAAACAGACTCCACATTCTCTGTTCTGGATATATAAATCTTTACATATATGCAAAAAATAATTTAGACAAAGAAAAACATGATCTAGAAGCTAAGACATAATATCCTGGCATATTAAAAATTTTCAATCATACCAGTGAATAGTATATCTTCTACATATCTTACTATTATGTCCTTCTGATAAAGGTTTCAGCGTCCATAATTTGTGTAAATAAATATACAATTCTAGTACAAAAATGATATACTGAACTACATTCTTTTTTCAAATCTATGTTTTTCTTAAGTTTAGCTAGTATCATAAATTGATGGATTTTCTCGTGCTGAATTTTGAGCAAAGATGAATGAATTATTGTATCAAGTGAATAAATGGTGACCTCTTTTGATTTGTTCTGTCATGTGTTAGTTAGATGTAATCATTTTTATATTTAGTTGAGTTTGCTTCACATATTTACGTAATAGTTACAGAATACAATCGAAAATTTTCAATAGATTCATTTGGTTTTGTTCGGATCATGTTGATATGAATGAAAATAACCATGATAAATTTCGATTTCCATAGTAGATCAAATGATAGAGGTCGTAGGTTGCTGAATTTCCTATTCAATATGTATGATTGGAGGACAAGAAATAAACTAAAGAAAATATATACAGAACGGAATCTTTGATTCTACAACTCATTGTTTCTTTTTTTTTTTTGGTTTGATAAATGGGGAAATATCTCATTTGAAGATGATTTTGTTTGTTTTTCGACATTTTATATTTAATTTTTCAGATCAAATAAAACAAAAATGGGTGATAGTGACGATGATTTTGATAGTCGACGAAATCGAGATAAATTTCGTCGTGAACGTGATGATTATAGTGGAAATCGAGCTAATAGCAATCGAAGTAGTGGTGGTGATTGGAATGATGGACGGTGAGTAAAGATTTCATTTTTATTTTTTAAATTATATTTCATGACTAATAGTAATATACAATTAGATTATAATGAAGCGTACGTTTATGCTAATATTTTGCAATTTCTTATGTTTAATTTTTCTCCCAATGATAAAATAATTCGAATATTCTTTTTTTTTATTTTAGAGATCGATCAAATCAATTTCGACGACAATATCCTGGTAGTGGAGGACCACCACCTGGACGTGATTTTCCACCACGATATAATCGAAGTCCTGGTCGATATGATATGAGTCCACCACATAATAAACGTGTTCGTCGTGATTGGTAAAACAAGATTTTAGTTTTTTTTTCTTTCTTCTTCATATTAAACATATATTTTTCTTCAGGGATGGTCTTGATCAACCACCAACTCATTTTGATCCACCTGGTGGTTCACCGTATTTTCATGGTGGTTCAAATTTTCATCCAAATTTTCCACCTGCACTTCATCAATCAGCTGGTACATCAGCTGATCAATTTAATAAGTAAAATTTTTAATTTTGATTTATGTATTGGTATAATTTTTTGTATTATGTTAGAGAGACATCTGATGGTGTAACACAACCACCAATGTTAAGTTTTAAACATTTTCTACAAGATCAAGATGATAATATTGATCAAGAAGAAGCTGTTAAACGTTATAATGAATATAAAATAGATTTTAAGAAAACTCAAATTGCTGAATTTTTTACAGCACACAAAGATGAAGATTGGTTTGTAAAAATGATTTTTTTTCTTTTTCTTTAAATTCTTTTATTATTATGAAATAAGAAAATATGATTATTGATAGATATGTATTATTACTATTCTTGTTCTTCTTCTTCTAGTGAAAACGATTCATTCGTCTACTGTATGCAATAATCTATATTAATTTATATGTTTCTTTTTGCGCGTATACATCTTTTCTTCTTTGCGTCGCTAAACAGATTGTTCGATTAAAAAATCGGGAATCTGATTGTTGAATTCATAAAAAAAAAACAAAAACAAAGAACGATAATTTTATTTTTCGTACGAAGAAAAAAAAAACGCTCTTTCTTAGCGTATTCGTTTGCGCGTTCGCTATTATTACCGATATTCTATACATTTACTCTCCTTTCTTTCTTGCGCACATGTATACAATATTTGGATAATTTCTGACAATGCTTCATCTTTGAGAAGTGCCGTAAGTGTATATCTCAATTAATTGAAAGATTCCTAGATGAGGGATAAGCAAGAATTTTTTTTGTTTTTGTATTTGAATAAAATATTATAATGAATTATTTAATTTAGGTTTAAATATAAATATCATCCAGATGAATATTCAAAACGTCGTGAAGAACAACGACAAATTATTAAAAAACGACTTGATATATTCATGGAACTTCATAATAAAGGTTATTTAGATGATGTTAGTGTTGATATTGAAAATCAACGTGCACTTACACGATTTCTTGATGCCGGTAAGTTATACTTATTGAAATAGTTTTCTCATTCAACATGAAAATAGAAAGATAATCTGGATAAAACTATGTTCATATTATAGTTGTCATCAAATTGGAAGGTGGTAATGATCATGATCTTCGTGCTCTTGATGTAGCAGTATCATCAAGTAATACGACTATTGAAAATGATGATGGTGATGATGATATACCTAAACAATCATCAACAATTAATGAACCAGTACGATCAGAAAAAACAGATAGTTCAACATCTGTAACAGGAACTGATTCAAAAAAATCATTGGAAAATACAGTATGATTAAATATAAATGTAAAAATATAAATTTTTGTTTTGATTGTATTAAATTTCAGATAAAACGAGAAGGTAGTGTATCAGATGATGGAGCAGTATCAGATGGTGCAGAAGATGATGAAGATGATGAAAAGAAGCTAACTGAAAAAAAGGAAATATCAATAAAAAATGAAGTATCAAATGAAAAACAAGAAAATGGATCTTTAACTGGTAAATAATAACTATGAAATTATTTTCTTTTATTAATTAATTTTTTATCCTTCTAGTTGAATCAAAAGAAACTATTGATGTTAAAATATCTTCACAAGATAATGAACCAGAAGCTGGTGAAGTACCTGATGCACCACGATCATTACATCGTACACTATCAATCTTTTTTCGTCATTTGGCTATGCAAACAACAAAAGAAGATCTTGAAAATGTAAAATTTTCATTTGAAATAAATAAAATAAAATTTATTGATTTTTCTTTTTTGTTGTTGTTCTCTTTATAAACCAGATATGTAAACAATATTCAGGTTTTCGACGTGTTTGTATAACAGATCCAGCACCTGAACGAAAATTTTTTCGACGTGGTTGGGTAACATTTGATCATTCAGTTCAAATTCGTAATATTTGTTATGAACTTAATTCAACAAAGGTTTGTTTTTTTTGCTATTTTAACTTTCCTTTCGATATAAATATATTTTTTTTTTGGTTATCTATATTTAGTTACATGATGTTGATATGGGAGCAATTATTAATCGTGAACTTAAAAATCGTATACGTACTATTAATGGTATAGGACAACATAAAACAATTGTACGAAATGATCTTCGACTTATAACAAAAATTATTCAACAATTAGATGATCGATGGAATATTTGGGAATCAATAAACAATGATAATATTGAAAAAAAGGCACAAACTTTATCAACTGATGATTCTGAAATATCTTCATCAACAGCATCAATGATTATATCACCAGTTAAAAATAAAAAACCAACTGGTTTTATTAGTCATAATCCATTATTAAAAAATATAACAGAATATCTCGTAGAAGAAGCTGATGCTGAAGAAGAAGAATTACTTGGTGAAACATCAAATCGACAAAGTGATTCAAATACATTTGAAATGGATAAACAATTAACTAAAGTATATAGAAAATATCTAAGATAATGAAAATAAATATTAATAACAATATTAGTTTTTAATATGATTTCTCAAAAACTAAACATCGTAGTTTTCAGGTCTCAGAAAACGTTTTGTTTTTGATACTTTTAATTTTTTAAGCAAAAGTTTTCTAGAAGTTGAAAACTATTGTGTTCGATTTTTAAGAAATCTTGATAAAAGAAAACTTCATTGATCATTATAAAAAAATAATTTACATTGTTGCTAAACTTTATTCCATCGTCTTTATTATTTTTTTTTGTAAATATTTCTAGGTTCTTGATCGTTTAATACTCTATTTACGTGTTGTTCATTCAATTGATTATTATAATGGTACAGAATATGCACAAGAAGATTCAATGCCTAATCGTTGTGGTGTTATTCATGTACGTGGTGCACCATTATCATCAATAACAGAAACTGAATTAACACATTTTATGCAACAATTTGAAGCACGTCTTAAACCATTTATTGATTTTCATGAAAAATTAGATGATGACGAAGCTATTAAATTAGGTGCAAAAAATGAACAAGATGAAATAGAAAAATTTATTAATGCTAATTGTCAAGAAGTTGGAAAAGATAAATGGTCATGTCCATTGAGTGGTAAAAAATTTAAAGGTCCAGAATTTGTTCGAAAACATATTTTAAATAAACATCAAGATAAACTTGATGAAGCTAAAAAAGAAGTAGGATTTATTGAATTTTTATTTTTCAATTAAAGAAGAAACTATTATTATGTTTAGGTCGTCTATTTTAATAATTATTTATATGATCCAAAACGACCACAATTACCTGAACATCCTTCAACACGACCAGGAGCAATACCAACAGGACCGCATCCATCTGGTTTACCATTACCTACACCGTCGACACCAATGGCAGGTCAAGGATTACTTAATCGACCACCCATGTGGCCTTCAAGTATGCTATTTTTATCCTTTTAAAACGTTACAAAAATTCTGCAAAAGGCTTAAATTGACTTTACTAATTCCTATAAAAGGATGTGAGTCAACTAGTTAAAGAAATAAGGCTCTTTTATAAAGGCTAATGAAGTTAATTTAAGTTCAGACTGAAAAGTTACTAGAGTTTCTGACCCGATCTCTCGTTTAAAATAGTATGAATATTTTTCGTTTGATTTATAGTGTCAGCACCAGCTCATCCTGGTCCACCAGGTCATTATTATAATCAATTTCATCAACCTCGACATCCTCGACCACCATTCATGTTTCAAGGTTCTAGTGGTCCAATACATCGAGCACCGTAAGTTATTATTTTTTTCTTTATCTTTCAAAAAAAAAAGAAACAAAATCTACGCCACGTTCAAATAGAAATATTCCATTAGATATGTTAATGTCATCAACGTAAGATCGTTATTATTATTTACTTTTGCATATTATTACTTCTTTTTGTTTTTGTTTATATCTTTTAAATTTATTTTGTGTTTCATTTAGAATGAATCGACAATTAAAAAGTTACGAAGATCTTGATGCACCAAATGAAATGTTACTTTAAATTATTCAATCTATGAATAACTAGACAAAATAAAATTTATTATTAATCTACTTGGATTTGTTTATTGTTCTCTTGTTTAAAAATGATGTGGAAGAAAAAAAAAACAGAAAACTTCAGAACTTTATCTTTTCTTGTTGTATAAGTGTTTATCCATCTTTTTTCTTTTCTTTTTTTTTTTTGTTTTTTTTTCTTTTTGTGTCTCGTAATCTTATACACATAAAATATATACAAAAATAAAAACCAAAATAAGATCTCATATAAATGTCTTTAGATGGATATAGAACGTCAAATAGATGAATTTGTTTTACCAGGTGATACAATTGCACTTTCAACTTTACCAAGTCCACTTGATTCATCAAATACAATAACACTTGGTCCTGGTTTACATTATGATAAATATACAAATGCATTTACATCACATGCATGTGGTCATGTACGTGAACCATCATCATTAACATATTATATTGATGGTCATCGTATATCAGCATCATCATTAACAACAGGTGATCTTGTTCTTGGTATTGTTGTACGTCGACAACTTGAATCATTACTTGTTGATATTGGTTATAATGAATTAGCTTCATTATCATTATATGATTTTGAAGGTTCAACAAAACGAACAAAACCAAATGTTGATCGTGGTGATATTATTTATGGTCGATTGAAAATTGATAGTGAATGTCAACCACAAATAACATGTGTTAATGAAGATGGAAAAGCCGATGGTATGGGTGTATTAAATGAAAATGGATATTTATTTTATATACCAATTGATGTAGCTAATGATTTAATTCATCATGATAATTTATTACAAGAATTAGGAAATGAAATTCCATATGAAATAGCCATTGGAGCTAATGGACGTGTTTGGATAAAAGCAGCAACAACAAGAACAATGATTGCATTGAGGAAAGTTATATTAGAAAGAGCAAAGAATAAGATTGATACTAATCAATTGAAAACACTATTTCAACAAAGTCTTGTTTCACAATTCTAGTTCTATAAACAAAAAAAAAGCAATGTTATTTAAAATATCCTATCTTTTTTTTCTTTATTCAATATCTATAAAAGAAAATTGAGACACGTCTTTTCGTATCTAACGAGGAAATTGTTCCAACTGTAACTCACTGTCTAAGTCTACTAGGAAGTCTTAGTAAGACAAGAAAAATTTTAAAAGGGTTCGTACTAATGAATCTCTGAACCTAAGTTATGGTTATTTTACTGAACTTTTGATCCATTTTTAAATATTTACTAGTAAATAAAAACAAACGTCAGGTCGAAATTCCATTATTTGGTTTTTCCAGTGAATACCAAGGAATGGGCTAAACATTCAGTAAAATAATCATAACCTGGTTTCAAAAACCTGTAGTATCGAGTCAGTTTAGGATTTTTCTAATCTTATCAAGACTTCTTTGTAACCTCAAGTAGTAAGTTACAGGTCGAATAGTTGCCTCAAAAGTACGGAACAAAAATAACTTTTAGTTCATTCTAGAACCACAATAACACACAATTGAATCGGACTAAAACCGTATTTATTTAAATCATATTGACAAAGAATAACTGCTATAAATTGATTGAAAGCTAATATGCATTGAGATGATCTTGTGTAACATTTGAAATTCATTTATTTAGTTCTGATCAATGTATTTGCTTCTATTAGTGTTTTAAATGAAGTTAGTGAAAGTTAATTTTCAAATATGAAAAATATTTTTTTGAACTAAGTAAAAAAATCTTTTCTTTCAATTTCAGATTTAAAAAAAACATGTTACTCCGTTTAACATCTCGTTTGTTTGCTTCGTCTCCTCTCATTTCATCAACATATATCCCATTACGTTTAGCTAATACATTTATTGATGAAGAATATATACGTGCTAATACGCCACCAAATGATCAATCTATATCTTCAAGCACTCAAAAAAATTCATCTTCAAATAATCAATCTGAACCAATGACATTTGCAAAAATGTTCCGTCAATCAAAATTTGTTCAATTAGGTGGTTTAAAAGGACGTTTATTAAGTGGACGTATTGTTGATGTTATTGATGATGATTTATATGTTGATTTTGGTGGAAAATTTCATGCTGTTGTACAACGACCACAAAATAAACAACGAGATCAATATACAATTGGTGCAGTTGTTTCCATACGTTTACAATCATGGGAAATGGCGGCTAGATTTTTAGGTGCATCAAGACATATATCATTATTAGAAGCTGATGCTCAATTAGTTGGATTATTAAGACGAGTTGATCGAACAGTGAAACCACGTGATAAAGATATCGATTTACGATATCGTCGAGGTGATAGTCGAGCACCTGCTTCATTGAAAAGAGAAGTTCTTTAAAGTTATGCATTAGATATTTTATGTCATTTGTTCTCTTGTGTATTTTTTTTTTGTTTCAAAAAAGAGCATGTAGTTCAAGTTTGAAAAAATGTTTCATAAATGAAACAAAAAGGTTTTGTTACTTTTACAAATAAGTCAAGCACAAAAAAAAATATCAAATCACTCAATTCAACTTAATTTCTTCTGTTTTATCTTCTTTTCTTGATTGTCTTCCTACAGATAAAGCAAGTTATGAAATCATACCGTAAAATAAAGTAACAAAGTCAGTAGTGCTCGAATTGTGTGAGGTACGAATTGTTTCTTAAAGACGACTTGAAATCCATTGCAACATGTAATTGTTTTCTTTAGATAAATTGAAAATAATTTATCAAAATACGGTAAACAAAGAATAATATTATTCAATTATACGTATTGTTGTTTGTTCTCAACCAATTTCTCACGTATACTATCTGTAGACGAAGAAAAAAAGCTTGTTATTAAAATCATTAGTTTGCTTTTAATAACAATGGTTTTTCAGACAAAATGCACTTATACAATTATGCAGCAAGGAGTAATGCTACTTGTAGTTGAGGAACTTAGTTTACTGTGCAGATATATATATTTTTTTGTTGTTGACTATTTCACTAAATATGCAGTTCCTTGAAATTAAAAAACGAGTTTTACACACAGTCGTTTTATTATGTCTGTTAATTTATTCTTCGTGATGTTATCTTAAATATCGCTAGGAAAATACTAATTAGTGAAACTGTTGCAGTCAGAACTTTGCCTCGAAGCATATCGAGTACTTAGCTATTATTAATATTTAAGTTCTGTATTTTTCAATCTCACTAGACTTTATGTTTTGTCATCGACTTTAGTCCACCGCAAGAATGATTACGACTATTCGAATTTTTTCCATAACTTTTCTCATTAACCCTTGCCGTACCGGCCTATTTTAAGTACTATATTGACAATATATATTTTCATAAAATATTTTTTTGTACTTTGGGATACTCCCCTGAGGAAATATCCTATTTTCATATTCGATGCAATAAAAAAAATTACTAGAATGACATTTTTTATTTGCAGCAAGTGTTACAAAAAATACGTTTAACAGAATGTTCATCACAAACGAACGCAGAACAAACACTGCATTGAGTTGATGTTTTTTTGTCCTTTGAACGTTCACAAAAAGAACATCTTTTTCGTTTTGCTTGAGCAGAATTGTCATTTATGATTGGATAGCTATAAACCATTCAAAAATTCCTTTCAAAAAATCGAAAATTTATACTCATTCAGATAAGTAAATGAATCATTAGAATATCTTTTGAAACTTTTTTTTCCTTTCTCTCATATATTTGATAGATACTTAAGACATAGTTTTGTATCAGGGGGTTGAATCGATATGGAAAATAAGTATATTCCCTTTTAGATGAAACGACATAGATCTACTCTTAAGCGATGCTAATAGCTTAAAAAAGCTGAGAAAAAACAATATTTTTAGCATATTTGTATATTTTTCAGGTTGGGGTCAGAAATGACCCCGGCCGGTACGGCAAGGGTTAAGCAGAGTAGTAAAATACGGTGCATTAAAGACCCACAGATGACCGTTTGCATTCGTCTACATACTGTATTATTCGATCAGAATTATACTCATTGTTGTGCATATCTAGCTTGGTTTGTCTCTGAAACTATTTCATAGCGCTAGTATGATTTAATTATTAACCATTTTTTTTGACCGATTTAATATCCCTAAGCTAACTTAATTTGCAATTTCAGTGATACCTCTCGTTTTTTGATACCTTACATTTATATTACGTGCAAAAACATCAGCTTTTCCAAGTTATATTTTAAGACTATCACCAATTGAAAACGACAGTTGCATGAACGTAATTGTCATTCTTGATTTTATATTGTCAGCACTTGTCTGAACATCAAGCCATTGTTACATTTGTTTTGTTTAGAGTAATAGCCTTGTAATCAGTTAAGAAATAGACTGCGAACAATAGAATAATGAACTGCATGACTTCAAAAACAAAAAAAGAAAGAGTGATTCTCTACATATACCAAAAAGAAAAAGAATTACAAGTTTTTATCAAATGAGGAAGGTAATAAAAACATAGAATACAAAATGATTCTCTTGCAATTGTATTATAGATACGATCATGTTCGAATTATGGTTAAAAAGAAATAGCAATACTAAAAAGAATTAAATGATAGAATTAAAGAATATAACAGCATAAAGAGTTTTTAATATAAATTTATAAATGGTACAATAGAAGTTAAATTTTCTTCTTGTGTTAGTTTTCAGATTTTCATATTAAATTTCATACAAATCAATGGTAGAAACAGCAACATTTTCTCTTGGTTGTTTTTGGGATCCTGATGCTCGATTTGGAGCATTAGATGGTGTTTTAGTAACTCGAGTTGGTTATTGCGGTGGTACACATCCGACAACACCTACCTATCGAACGATTGGTGATTTTACAGAAAGTGTACAAATTGATTTTGATTCAACACGTATATCTTACTCTCAATTGCTTACTTATTTTAATCAATGGCATACTCCAAATACTTCGACGACACGTAGTCAATATGCAGCGGCAATTTTCTTTCATAATGATAAACAACAACAAGAAGTAAATGAAATGAATATAGAGAATGTACGTGTAGATAGATTTAATAAATTTTATGAAGCAGAAGATTATCATCAAAAATATAACTTAAAACGGACTATAATGGAAACCGACCTATTCGGTAAAATAGAGAAGTGGATAAATAAAGATAAACAAATGATTACTAAATTGAATGGATTTCTTGCTGGTTATGGAACAAAAGAACAATTTCAAAACTGGGATAAACGTCGAGAATTGACTATAGAACAACAAAATTATATAAAAAATAAACTTGGACAATAATTCTTTTTTTGAATCATATACTCAATAGAAGTTTGTTTTTTTTTCGTTCGACATTAATCATGTAAAATAGTACTAGGAGAATAAAATGAAATTTTAGTACCCGGTATATCTGGACTAGCTATAACTAATGTTTTATCATCAAGAATTGCTACACAATTCGGTGTTGAAGTTAAAGAAATATGTTCAATATTTTTCATTCGATCATCAAATACGATTAAACGATGATTTTCACTATTAATTATAATCCATGTATTTCTTCGATTAGCATTTATTAATTTTAATGGTGGTCGAAGTGTTTCAGAAAGTTTTAATGTTCGCTTTAATTCCAATTCTCTATTTGAAAATAAATCAATTTGCCAAATATTTTCTTTTGTATATGTTAATGTACATAAACAATCAGCTTGACCTTGAAGATCATAAACAAGACAAATATCTTCAAGAAGTTCTTTCATATAAAAAATAGCAGTTTGTGAAAATTTTGTATTATAAAATTCAATTGAATTAGTTTCATTAAGAATATAGATTCCAAAACGATTTGTTGTTAAACGATGCCATTTATTTGTTTGATCAGATAATTTAATAATGTTTGCTTGAATCTTTTTTTCATATTTATCATATTTATGTAAAGATATCGATGTAAGTAAAAAAAGACAATTAAATTGTATTGACCAACGCATATCAATAATTTGAATATCTCGAGGAAAATCGATTGAAAGTTCAAGACAAATTTTTGATGATATTGAAGATGTTGAAAATTCAAGAAGACATGGATAAGTAGGTGATGGTTCAAATACGTAAACAAATAAATCAAGACATGAACTAGCTATATGTTGAACAGATGATTGAAGATTAAGAGTTTGTAATGGTTGATATAATCGATAATTATACTCTAATGATGATGGAATAGGTGATTCATGAAATTGTTTTTCTACATTTATATATTTAGTAAAATCAATTGAATGAGTATCTAATCGAAAATCAAGAAAATGTTCATCATATCGTTTGAGAAGTTCTTTCTCGATACTAATTAAACGTAATAATTCATGATCATAATTACATCCAGTTTGTCGTTGTTTAGCATAACGTACATTGGAACGAAGATTTATAAAATATTGAACATATTCTTGAACATATTCATCAGTTTTCATTTTTAATAATTCATATTGTGTTTTAAGAAATTTTTCAAGTTGATATTGAAGTGTTGTTTCAAATTGACGACGAATATCAGCAATCCATATTTGTAAATGATCAGTAGCTTGACGATATTGTCGATAGAAATTCTCATCGAATTGTATTTGTAATGAATCGATTTTCGATGTTAAACGTTCGTCGAGTGCATCAAGAAGATGATTGTGACGATGAACACCTGAACATGCTAAACAAAAGTACTTTTGACATATAAGACAACGTATTGATGGTGATGAACTGTAGCAAGCATAGCATGATGACATTTTTATACAAATGAATCAATATGTTTGATGTACATAGAGACCTATCAGCGGGTGGGCTCTCCGTTAAACATTCTCACCACTAAGTAACGGCCTCCATCAAGAAAATCGAATAGACGAAATAATACCACCCACAATTATTGACGATATGAGTCAATCATCCAGTTTCGATTTTTGCTCGCCATCAGATCAACAACCTTTGTAGATGATCCTTTTGATTTCATTTTACACGGCTTACTTAAGCTATTCAGCTTTCAAAAATACTCTTTTCTATGATTCTAATCTATACGTCGTTCGTTGAAAGTCTTGAGAAGAAATATTCCGACCTAATCTCGATAAGTTCTATCGGTAATGTTCTCTAATTCAGATCAAAATCTGAAATTAGAGGTGTAAGTCAATCGGTTGAATCGCCATCGCCGTCGTCCCAAATAGTTGCTGAAGATTCTAGCCCTCGTGACACAAAAATAAGTACTTGACTTTAAACATTTTCGATGTCCCAAATAAATTTTTAGATACATTGCCATCTAGTTTCTTGTCATTGAGTTCTCTATCACTCTTTTTCATTTCAAAATCTTTCAAAATTAAGAAAAGCTTTTTTAAAAACTCATTCAAACGTTTCAACCACAGTCGTCAATCAATTCATCGGCTTATACTT